GTCATTTATGCATTCAACAGATATCCATTCAATACCTATTGTGCGTCGGGCATTTCCCTGGGTGAATAAGATAGACACTGTCCCTCTCTCACTGAAATTCCAGTGAGAAAAATAGACAATATTAAACAAGATCTTTATTTATTGTATGATTAGAATTTTGATCGGTGTATGACAGAGAACAACAGAGGATGTTATTTGTAGCCAGGGTATACAGGGAGAGTATGGTGGGGGGCCCAACCTGGTCGGTGGGGGTGGTATGAGGAATAAACACTGTGTTGCATATCCAGTGTTGAGGTACAAAAAAATTCACATTTTTGGAGTGATTATTATTTTTTTAAAGTGTTTATATCCAACAGAATCATTTTCACATTTCTCTAAAAAGTTGGTATGCTTGGCAACAAGCAATCCTGGGACAACTGGATATCCACAGGCAAAAGAATGCGGAAGCATCAGTTCCTCATACCATAAACGAAAACTTAACTCAAAGGGATCATGGACCTAAATATAAGTTAAAACCGTAACACTCCTAGAATAAATCAGAGGAGTAAATCTTCATGATCTTGGGTTGGGCAAAGCCTTCTTGGAGAGGACACAAAAGCACAACTGATGAAAGGAAAAATAGATTAATTGCACTTTGTCAAAATTAAAAACTTGTGCCATGAAGGATACTATCCAAGAAAGTGAAAAGAACATCCATAGGACAGGGAAATACAAGTTTCTGCAAAACATGTATCTGATAAGGGACTTGCATCCAGAATATATAAAGAATTCTTACAACTCAATAATAAAAAGGCCAAAACCCAGTTTTTTAAAAAATGGGCAAAGCGTTTGAATAAACATTTCTTGAATAAAGATAGACACACAGCCAGTAGGCACATGCAAAGTTGCCCAACATTATTTGAGATCTCACATCATACCTGCCAGGATGGCTATAATAAAAAAAGACATTATTCAAGTGTTGGTGAAGATGTGGAGAAAATTGCACCCTCTCACACTGCTGGTGGGAATGCAAAATGGTGCAGTCAATTTGGAAAATGATCTGATAGTTCCTCAAAAGTTTAATATAGAGTTAGCATGTGATCCTACAATTATTCTCTCGGTATATTCCCCAAACAAATGCAAACATATGTGCACAAAAATTCACACATGAGTGTTCAGAGTACCAATATTCGTGCTATCCAAAAAGTGAGAAAAAAACAAAGGTACATCAACTAAATAATGGATAAATAAAATGTAGCCACTCCATACAATGGAGTATAATTTGGAAATAAAAGGAAGAAAGTACTGATTCATGCTAAAATGTTGAAAACATTATGTTGAGTGAAAGAAGCCAGCCACAAAAGACAACATATTGTTATTCCATTTTAATGAAATACCTCGAATAGGGAAACCTGTAGAGACAAAATGTAATTTAGTGGTGGCCTAAGACAGGTTGGGGGGTGGGTGGGCAGGAAATGGGACTGACCCGCTAATACTATACTTGTGGATATAGAATTCTTTGGGGGTGATAAAATTGTTCTCAAGCTGATGGTGGTGACGGTTGCACAATTCTGTGACTAGACTCAAGCTGTTGAATTATACAATTTAAGTGGATGAATTACATGTTATATGAATTAAATTTGATAAAGCTGTTATTCTAAAAGTATATTGTGTTTAGTATATTCAAAATCTAATCTCTCTTCCTCCTCTCCCTTCCTTCCCTCCTCCCTTCCTTCTTTCCTCCCTCCCTTCCTTTCCTTCCTTCTCTCCTTCCTTCCTTCCTTCCATTATCAAATTCATAAGCCTGGGATGGACTATGTTTAATGCAATGAAGTATAGTTATATTATCAGTTGGGCGATAAAAGATAGGAAGTCAAAAATGAATCATTCTTTTAACTTGTGGAACTATAGACGAAGAGAGTATCTGAAGTGTAAGCAGGTCTCCTTCATGAGATTTATTTTTTTATTCAACACATATTTATGGAACATTTATTAAACATTTGAGGCACTGAACTAGGTGCTATTTTATGATTTCCAAGCAATACACACACAAGGATATTTTTCACAGCATACACCTGAGACCGAGTTTCACATGTTCTAGAACCAGTCGTCCAAGGTTACCACTGCCCTTCCTTCTAGCAAGTAGTTCACAAGAGCTGACTTTGGTCTATCAAAAATTGTTTAAAAAGATTAAATGCACAATCACATTTTGAAATCTTTTGCTATTTACAGAAATGCAAAAAACACTTTTTTTTTTTTTTTAAAGAAAATCCATAAACCAGGCCTACATCTTCAACAATGAGTTTGTTGGAAAACGCTCTTGGGAATCCTAGACTCATGGGAATGGGGTATGGAGAAGCCAACTTTGCCCCTCTGGGTGCCTGTCTCCATCCCTGGGGCTTGCAGATCTGCTTTGGCTTAGAGAGGTCTGGAGGCTTGGCCCTGCTGGGATCAGCAGGCGATCCCAGTCCAATGGGCTCTGGAGAAACTGGCGGATTATGAAATTGCTGTCAGAAGACTCAGGTCTACCAAGGTCTAACCAGAACCTCTCTCTCCATAGAGCAAACCCAAACCTACAAGCGCTGAGGTCCCACCCAGATTTTCTGAATCTACATTTCTGGAAGCAGGCCAGATGGCACTTACAATCCCAGGAACTTTGCAAACGGCCGTCAGTGACTGAACTCAGATCCATGTGGATTTCCAAGTTCTCTTTAAAAGTAGGAAGAGTTGGTACTCTATAATCAGGACTCTTGGAGGCTAGAAAGAATTCCCTGGGTCTGTTCTAATGGATGCTTATGTCTTCAGAATTTAATTGAGTTGGGTTCTGGAGATTAGACATTGGGCAAGAAAAGTAGCCATTTATCTCATCTTTAACGTAAGGATCATTCCTTTGGTTTATCTTCGGTATTTGCAGGTCAGTCCAACTAACTTCCTCCTGGAATTAGGAGTGAAGTAGCAAAATACTCCAGGAGGAGAGGAGTCTATATGTATGAGATTTTACTCGAAAGGAACAGAAAACATTTAGAGGAAATTTTCCTGAGGAAGATAATGTAACTTTGAAATATAAATCAAAGGGGAAAATATTCTAGCCAAATAATTAAGCCACTAAAAGGTAGGCATTATTTTAGGAAAAAGTTATTTTCTCCTTTAGTGTCTGGATTTTCTTTACTATTTACCAGTATTTATGATTCCAAAAGTACCTTACTCTTGTTCATCTATTTAAGATTATTTATTAGCTACACTCTGTCAGACAAATATCTGAGTTTTTATTATGCAACTTGAAGTCGTTAGGGATGAGTGAGGGGAAAATGATAGAATAGAGCTGGAAACACAAAGGGTAAGACTATGTGCCTGTTTGTACTCTCTTGATTTTCATGATCCCCTTTTAACTGAATCACTTGGGTATCTCTAAGCCATCCTTCCTTCACAAGGGAGGAAGGTGGGCTCCACTGGATTCATTTTCTGGACAAAGGGCACTTTGAACAATGGATGCCTGTTTCAACACCACTGCCCAATGTTCTGAGAGCACCAGTTTGTTTTCAGCCAAATAACAAAGGCCAGCTTGTCCTCTTTCTAACTGGTTGGATGGTTGGCTGGCACTTTTAAAACACATTACCTAAATCCCTAGAAATCCTTTGGGACCACGGAATTGGTATATGTATTTGTTAAGTAGCGATCTTTTGCTCTCATGATTCAAGGCACAGAGATGTTCCCACCCTTCTCCAATCAGGGTGAGCCTTGACGTTCATTTCTCAAGGCAAACGCTGTAATGGGGCTTCATCATGCTGGGGAGACCTGTTGGGCTATCTCTTCCTGATGGAAAGTCTCTTTTGCAGGTGTGTCCCTATTTAGTGTAAACTCACTGTTAACACTATGATAGGTCTGTGTGACTCTGATCATTTAAACATGCCGTTACCCTTTGTTTCACAGCAAGATTTCCTACAGCAACTCTAGATCACTAACCTGAAAACATTTCAAATCAGGCTCAGTGGGTCTTCTTAGGGGTTCCCCAAGAACTTAGGTCCCTGAGGTGGCTCTCGGACTAAACCTTTTCCGAATCAAATGGCTAATTGGTTAGTGACTGGGATGTGGTTCCATCGTGTTCTCTCCGTTTCCCACCCCACCCCCACCTCCACCATTTCCTTGGGGCTTCTGGGTCCCTCGGGATACACTTTGCTGGTAGTATTCCATGAGCCTTGCTCCAGACTACTGGTGCCTAGAACTTTGGCTTACCGTGCCACCATCCCAAGCAGTGAACTGAGATTTCTGCAAACATGTCCATGAGTCATCAGCGAGATGTGTAATGATAGGTCAGTATTGCCATAGCCTACACTCCATCTGGGGATCCAAAGCCATGCAGGGCCTGCCATGTGCCAGGCTCCATGATGGGACAGACTGAGCCTCACAGAAGCTTGGGTCTGCTGCAAGCTTTTCTGCTCCTCAAGCCAAGGGAGACATTTGTGTGCACTCCAGACTCTGGGAGGGCACCCACAACTTCTACCTTGTTCTATGAATTCTTCAGTCCTTCATACTTTTGATAGGTGATCCAAGCTAAGATACGCCCTTTCTGGGACTTGGTATAAAATGAAAAACAAACAAACAAACAACCCCCCCAAAAAAACAACAAAAAAACTCAAGTCCATGAGCTGGGCCAGAAACAGAAGACAGCTTTGCTTTTATGTGGGCTTTGTTTTTCTGGGCTGGAAGGAGCAGGGCAGGATTGCAGCTCTAGACCCCAAGGATGGCTCCTGGGTGTGGAGTGGACACAGACAAGGGCCTGCTTTGTGCAAAGCAGGACAGAGACGGGCCCAAGACCCCATGCACTATCCACTCGAGGTCTGCTTGCCCCATGGGTCGGCTCCTACTCAGCTCATCTGAGTGACCGCATGGGGACAATGCAGAAGATGACATGGAGTTGAACCAATGAGGAGCTGGATTTTCCTTACCTCCAGAAGAAATAAAGCTTGGGGTTTTTGGTGTTTGTTGGTTTGTTTGTTTTAAGAAGTAAGGACTTTAATGTATGGAATCATCCAAGAACAGTACATTTACAATTTTGGTGGCCTTGATTGCGTTAAGGAAGCTATTATTCAAATAGAAAATGAAAACCATCCCACCGTGGAGGCACCCTTGGCTGAACATTTGGGGACAACAATAGCAACATCTATACGAACAGTAGGAGGAGAATTGAGACCAGAAGCCAGCCGTTCAGCCGGACAGACAGAGCCGAGCCGGCCTGCTCCTCCAGCATGCACATCACCCTGGACCAGGAGCCGTTGTTGGGCAGGGGAGTGATGCCCGCCACGTTGCACATGACATTGTAGACATCCACGGATCTGATCGGAGCAGCTCTGAAGTTGGATTTGAAATCTGAAAGGGAAAGGCAAGCAAACAAGTAGTCACAGCCATGCCTGGGGCAGAAAGGAGCCAAGTCACGACACATAGAATTCTACTCAGGCTCCAGGCAGCTTTGGGATTGGAAATCAGCTCTGTCAATGGGGCGCGGCCAAGTCACGGTGAACGTGGAAGGGGATCTGGAAGGGCTATAGCTTACAAAAGGAAGCTGTTCTCTAGGGCTCAGGGAGATGAGCTTCTTTAGAAAGACAAGTCAGCAGACCATCTTTGTACATAACTGTGGACCCTTCCTGACAACAGAGCTATCCTGGAGAGGCAGAAGGCATCTCCATGTTTGCTGCTCATTTCTGCCGAGCCCTGGAGAGCAGCTGTGGTCAAAAAGGCTGACTGTCTTGCTGAGCCCCTCAAACCCAATTACACGCTCTGCTTATCTTCCAGAACATCTATCTAGCAGCAGCTGGTTGGCCAGGGGGCCCCTGAGCCACTGAGGAACATTCCTTCATTTTCCTGCCACATTGAGGTCTCAGGGCTTCGTGGAATGTGAACCTGTATGGTTGCCTCAGTTCTGGCCACCTCAGAAACAACAGCGATGGTTTCTTAAATATGTTTGGAGAATCAATGGAACATTCATTGGGAGCCTTTCGCTGGCAGCTCAAACAACTTAGCCGAGGGGAAAATGAGCAAACTGGTATTGGAGTTGGGGACCCAGGTGAGGGCATCAAGCACTCCTCGGGTGGAGGGAGAAGAGTGCTGTGCTTGCTTCCACCCTGCGGCTGCCCCAGACTCCAGTGGTGATGCAGGATTCTAGAAGGCAGGGGCAGCCGTTCACAGCCTAGTGAGTGCGGACGGATTGCAGAGAAGAGTCCACTTTCTCCTTCTCCACAGGAGGAAAGAGGAGGCTGAAAGCCAAGTCCGTGTCTGTTCAGAGAGTGAGTGTAAGAAGTTAGTAGTGTACACAGCAGTTTCTCTTTTGGGCCCCAAACTGGAGCTATATTGAGACTGAATTCTAGAAGGAGGTTTTATCTAACCATGAAGGCCTCTGCTAGCGCTTCCAGTCCATATAAGACTTTGAAAGGAAATGGGTGGTTTGGGGGCTGTAAAGCCAAGTTGTCTCCCTCAGAAGATAATCCTTTATAATTGCTCTTCTCAAATGATCACAAGTACTTTAAAAAGCAAACAAACACCAATGGCAACAGAGTTCAGAAGTGCTGACACCAAATGCTGCTCTTATATTAAGCCTGAAATCACAAACACAGAAGTTCTATTCAGAAAACGCGCCCACAGAGTATGTTCGACCCAGGCCTACTTCCCAAGTGATGGGTTTTGCTCACTTTGGAGAGGTAATGTTGACTCTAGCATAAGAAGTTAATGGGCTCTGCAACCAGCCCACAGCTGCTTAGTAGCTGGGCAAGCCCAGGAAAGGGTATGGGAAGGGTACCTAAACCACGGTTCCAGGCACAGTGCATCTGCTCAATGAGCGGTAGCTGTTCTTAGTAATAAGTGTGTAGAATAAACACCCCACAAGGGAAAACTATGGACTGGAAATATTTACCCTATAAATTATTCGGAGGATTCACTTTATTTGGGGGGCAGGAAGGATAAGGGATAAGGCAGCATCACCTCATGGTAAAAACTGGTCAAAATCTGGAACCTGCATGGAGAGGAGATTTAGGACTGCCCCAGAATCCCAGCCCTTCTCAATATCAAGGCGATGGATTGCAATGAGGTGAGGACAGTGGTGAGACTTCCCCAGAGCAGAATCAGCTGTGGTATGAAAAACCAATGGAAAGCTTGTCCCAGCCATGTGGCAGCAACTCGTCTCCCTCCTTGCGACTTGCTATGGACCTGGGTGTGATGACCACACCGCCTCCCCACATGGTGGCCATGTCCTTGTCATGTGTGTGGGTGGAGATGGTGTGGGGGTGGCAGACAAAGTAAACTCAACATGTCCTTCCCCAGCCTTCCAAATGCCCGTGTCTTTAACACTCAGTGGGAGAAACGGAGATCAAGCTCTACTGACAATAAAATTATTAGAAAACATTTTACATTGAAAGTACAAAGTTAAATCCTCTGCACGTAAGCAGGAAGGAGAATTGCCCCCCCCCCATTCCATCTGGTTCATGAATTCCTATGCTGCAGTGCTAGGACTTTGCGCCCAATGAGTAGAAGATCCAGGCTAGAATGAGAGCTTCTAGAAAATTCCTTAACAGCAGAACAATACCAGATGCAGCTGGGGAGGACCCGGCCAAGCTCTACTAACTCAAGGTGGCATGTTGAATCTGGATTGGCAATCCAGGTTATCTCCATGAATTTAAATTTTCCAGATATTGAAACTGTTGCTCCTAAAGAGAGAAGGTTCTGCAGCCGCACGCCATGCCTGGCCACCTTGGGCTGCTCTCCGGGTGAGGCTCGCTAGCTCACAGGCAGCTCACCGACTCACACTCCTGCCGTCTTATCTTGAAATGTGGAGTTCTCTGGGGCGAGATTAGGTGGTTCAAATTAGAAACCTGGATTAACCAGAGAAAGGCTATCTTCCAGAATTATTTCCTTTTCTTTCTGCCGGACCAGACTTACTGACTTCTAAGCAGTACCTGAGCAGCCGTAATGATGCCCGGCTTCCTCCCTGAATGAGAAGCGCATACAATTAATCAGGAAGGATGTACCTTTATCTCACAGTGCAGCTAGATAGCTATTAAAGGCCTCACTCTTAAATTTTCTTCAGAGTAAACAGTCAGTGTGTAAAGCTGTTCAATTTTTCATGAGAACTGGAGCCAGAAACGTGATGGTTTGAGGGAGGCTCTCAAGGCGGTATCTGCCTAGAAGCATTTTTGTAATGGGCCCAGTCCACTTCCATCAGGGGTCATCTCTCTCTCTGTAAAAGCCTTTGGCTTTTGGTTTAATAGGAGCCTATGATGGAGGCTTTTGTGGACAGACAAACTTTCCGCTCTGAATTTAACTTTAAGCTCATGTAGCTTTGGATACTTTGTTTTAACATTTTGGTTTGAGGCTAGATTTGCTCTATGCCTGAGACCATTGCTTATAAACCCTCCTTCTGCTGACAACTGGTTTGCATTCACGATCTTACTTCTCTCTTCTAAGGAAGGAAAAAGTTACGCTTTTGAATGAAAGCCTTGATGTTAAATGTTCTCCCATTTAAAGGCAGCAGCCGTGGAAAGTCTCCAGCCTAATCCATCCAACAGTTGACCTCAACAATGTCCTTGAGGCTTCCTTCGTCGTTCATTATGTTTTTGAGCTTTGGTGAACTCGTGTTGAATGTAGTGTAAGAGGTTAATCTGACCTGAGGTGTGATTGACAGGGAGCTCCCACTAACTCTCACTAGTTCATGGCCGTGTGCCTAGACATCCTCTGAACTCTCTTGGGCCAATGTTGTGAACCCAGTTAGCACTCTGTAATGTTGGCTGCCACTGGTACTGACACTTGCTTCAGGACTTGGGAACTCGTATCACATATGAGAAAGGACCTAGACTAATGTGATTCCCTAGGCTCAGGAGGTGGAGCACGCAGAAATGGACAGCCAGGTGTTGACAGCAGCTATTTTGCGGTAAGTAGAGTGACCCAAGGCAAACATAGATCTTTTGTCTTGCTACATCAAGAAGAAGAGCAGACCTTCTAGGCATGATTTCTAACCTATACTTGGAAAGGGAAGCACGGACTGTCATGGGCTGAAACATTATAATCTATGTCCAGAAGACAGCATTTGGAATACAGACGTCAGGGTAAGTTACTACATCTAATAAGGATAGTGGACAGTAGTGAGACAGGAGACTAGCTTATGAGCCAGTCAACTGAGGGCTAATGGCTGCTGAATGCCTCTCTCTCTTTTTTTTTTTTTTTAAAGAACGAAAGGGGTGTTTGGGTCATAGTATGGACTTTGAGTATTTGATAAACTTCTCCACAATGTGAATTCACAGTCCTCTGTCAGTTAAAGCAAATGACCAAACAGACCCTCTCCATCCCCCCTCTAATCCAGCCTTAGAAATGTATCTGGTCAAGGAAGGCAGAGTAAATTTGCTTTCATCCAAGGACATCCAGATGTCCCTAGGTCTTCTGGCTCATTCAAAGTCCATCTCAAGGTCATTTCCTAGCCTGGTCTTGAGCACATCCCAGCTTCTGGTTGGGCCCTAAACCGAATGACCCACCCTCACAGGGTTGGGTGCTCTAGACAGGGAGGACCTGCGGAGGAGTCAGACCCTGTGACATGATCACGTCAGCTCAGACTCACAGCTGTCGGCAACCTGGTGTCTGATAAGCTTTCCTGGACATCAGCTAGCTGTGAAATAACATTTTGATGAATTAAGTAAAAAATGAATCACAAACATGTGGAATCCATTTTCTTCACCGCACTCAAGATTTAAAATTTACAAGGAAAAGTATTTGGCCACGTTTGCCAAACCTAAGAAGCATCTGAAAGCCGGCCAGCCAGAGATGTTTCGTGGAGACCAGCTGGATTTACTCAGCTTTGCTCATAAAGAGGGTCCGTAAAGAGATCACTTGAGCCTTTACTAGTGCTGTCAGCCCCTCCTGGAGACCGCTTCCTTGGGAATGGAGGACAAAGCATGTGGTCATGTCTTGCCTACCGGGGCCAAAGGCCAGGAAGATTCCCCTCATGTCCATGAGCTCGTTGTCGTAGCCATGCCACCCGTGCTGCCAGCCTTCCCTCTTGCCGGTGCTGTTCATCCAAAAAGGAAGTGTGTCTCGATTCTGAAACCAAGAGAGGCAGTCATATTACACTGCGTCCCAGCCATTGTGATGAGTGAGCTTCGGGCCCACCCACCGTGGGATCTCCTTCTCAGCATTCCCCACTGGGGTCCTCCAACCTCAGATCACGTCCTACTCCATCCAGGTAGCACGGACCTTGGGAGGCAGCCCGTGAAATTGCCAGAGAACTCTACCTATAAAGGTATTTTCTGAGCAGGACGGTACCTCGTCCTCAGTTTGTAAGTCACTAAATATATCACGTGAGAGACAGAAGGGATGTTCAAGTGTATCTTCGGTGTAGAGAAAAGTATATTTGGCCTTTGTCCCAGGTTCCAGGCCCAGAGCTCCTAAAACCCTTGGAATTTCCGGAGTGATGGGGTCGTTTTTGTTATTCATAATGAGCCCCTTTCTTCCATACCTGAGTGTCTGTTAACGAGATCGCTGATGGGTGGGGGGCTGCGGAGCTTCAGGAGGTCACTGGAGGGACCAACCGTGAGATGGGGATGTCCTCTGACCTCTAAGACTGCGTTCAGTCTTGTGGCCTAGGACGGAGTCACCCGTGCCTATGCAGTGGCACCCGTGTAAAAACCCTGGAGCAACGTGGCTCAGGGAGCTTCCAGATGGGTGAACAAACCACACGCTTGGAGGGCGGTGACCCCAGAGACAGCCTGGGGGCTCCGTGGCCCTCACCCACCATCCTTTGCTCTATGCCTCTCTGAGTCGTAGCCTCTGTGAGAAAACTAGTCATAAATAGAGCACATTTCTGAGCTCTGTGATCCAATCTGGTCATTTATCGAACCTGAAAAGGGTTGTGAGAATCCTGCAATCGGTAGCCAAGCCAGACACCAGTGTGTAGCCTGGGGACGCAGGACCCGGGACTGGTGTCAGAAGTGGGGACAGTCAGGTGGGATGGAGCCCCCTAACGTGAAGGGCTGCTCCAGCTCTGGGGTTGGGACTGAACCGCAGGACACCGACTGCTGTCGGAGAGTTGTTGGAAAACACAGTGTTGAACTGAATCACCTTGTTCTTCTAGCAAAGCCATCAAAGCCCGAGCCCTTTCCGCCGCCGCATCCCACCCCCATCTTTCCCCTTCTCGAACCGCACCCTCACGACCCACTGGGGATAGTTAGTTTCCTCCTCTCCATTCAGTCAAACGTGCGAAGATGGCATGGCCGTTCCTCTTACCCAGGCTGGTCACACCTTCGTTTCCGCCAACGGCCTCCATTTGGGGTGGGGTCTGGAACCATCACTTCCCTGTCACCCTCTTTCCTTCAGAACTCAACTTCCTCAGAGGGCAGATGCTGGCTTATGCGACAGCCGTAGGTCCTGAGGGGGCCGCTGCCAGCTGGACATGTCCCTCGCCCTTCCACACGGATTACATTCATGCCTGACGGTCAAGGCACCTCTGCTGAGCAGGGTCTGAGATCGCAACCACTTCAGATGCAGGAAGAGGAGTGGACTGGTCGTAGCCAACGCAGGAAAGCACGAGTCCCAGGAATTCACAGGTCGGCTCATAAGACGTGTCATACTACCAGCGATTTAGTCCGCTGGGAGCCTGTGCTGACAGTGGATGACCTTCCCACTGCACAGTTGAAGGAACTGAGGCCCAGAGAGGTTAAGGGACCCTCTTAAAGCCGCACAGCTGTGGAGAGGCAGGACTGGGATTGGAACCCAGGTGGGCTGTCTCCTGGTCTTCATGTACCATCCACGGCCCCACGGCCAAAGGTCACTGCCCGTGACCTTGCCTCTTTACTCACCAAGGAGTGTGGCCAGTTCTCAAGTGTATAGAAAAAAGAGTTTTAAAATTGGATTCCACTTTGTCCCTTTCTGGTTCTGCAAGCTGGCTCAGATCCTGGGCAAGATACTTCTCGGAGCTTGTTTCCCCGCTGGGTGTTATTATACCTGCCTCCCAGAGTTTCTGGAGGAGGACAGGACTGTGCGCCATGTGCCCGGCACAGAGTAGATGCTCAGTAAATGGCTGTGGGATGGTCACCAGATGCCGCTGGCTGTGGGGCGGGGTACGCTGGTCCCGCACAGTGGGGCAGTGATGGTTATGGGGCCTGAAGTCCCCTTTGCTTAGTTAGCTGTCATACTGCATTGCACACCCATCCCGTCTCACCCCATAAATCGCTCCTTTGCTTTCCAAATCACACTATATCACTGACTCTCCGTTTCCTGAATTTCCATAATCCCCTGTCCCTCCTTCTCCAGCTGTAGCTTGTATTTTTCCACGGGAACGTTTTCATTAACTTACTGCATTTCTAACCTGTTATACCATTTTTGTTCTTTGTCTGTGGTGATGATCACAACACATCCCAATTTAGCTTTGTCGGCTAACTGGAGGTGTTGCTTTGCCCGTCGGGCTCCCGGGCACTGATTCCCGCAGCACCAGATAGAACATTCTCTTACTGACAACCTCACCACCTGTGACCCCCACAGGACATATGTGCCCTGTGACAAAGGGACAGATGAAAGGGAGACGAAGACGGATTATACCTGATTTACGAATTCCAGTCTGGATTCCACGAACACAAACATAGATCCTTGAAAACCTCAGCCTGACGGTAACTGGGGCTTTGTCCGATCGCAGGTGAATGTGTTCCTTTTTATTAAAGTGACAAGTTGCTCCAGTGAAACAACTGCTCTTACTGATTCTAAAAGTAATAAGGATCTGGCAGCTTATGGGAGAAGCTAAGCATATCCCGGAAGTGACTGAATGGGTGATAGCACGTGCGCAGCCTTAACTTCCAAATGGCATGAGGACGATTTTCTCCCTTTCCTTTCCTGGTGGCTTCCCCTGTTTTTGTTGTGTGACCCCACATTGTCACCCTAGATGCCTACAGATGAGGTCCTGCTGATGAATGTGTGTCCCAGGTCGCTCAGCCTCCAGAGTAGAAATCCCCAGGCTGCGGATCCTCCAGCGGCTGGGCGAGGAGACCTAACCCCAGCCCGACTCTCGCAGGCCCAGGGACTAGCCACAGAGACCCACCTATGAGACCACCTATGAGACCACCAGAGCCACAGAGACATCACTATGTCTGGGGAGGTGCCCAGAGCCTCCAGATTTGGTCAAAGCTGAGACAGGGGTAGAGGAATGGTGTTGTGCGCGTGTCCATGGGGCAGGGGGAGGGCAGTGTTCCTAAGCTGGGGTCACTAAGAAAACTGGGCTCATGGTGGGGTTGGCAGCCAGTTCCCAGGAAACACCGGGTCCTGCTGCAGCATGTCATAGAAGGCCCCAATAAGGGCTCCACCTGGAAGGGGTTTCCCCCTCATGAATAGGTGAAGGGGGGAATCTAGAAGGAGCAGGGTCTTGTTGGGGAAAGGAGCCCCAACAGGGGTGGGAGATGTCCTTATCTTCCCATGGGAGAAGGCAGGGATCTAAGAGCCTGTCCATTTTGTTCCACAGCTCAGCAGACGTGCGCTGAGCTCTGAACCTGTTGGGCTCTCTGCTAGGCTTCTGGCTGAGAGGCACGGAGGAGGAAGGCATTCTTTCCCCTGAAAGAGCTTATCTTTCTTGAGGAAAGATGAGGGGTTATGGCCTCTGAGTATTGATTCCTGAGGTGGCCGGGACAGGCAGTGGGGTACCATGAGGCCCTGGGGAGGCCTGTGGTGGGAATCACTGTCCGTGGGAAGGGCGAGCCTGCATAGTCGGGGGACCCACTGTGAGAGGCCACCCAGATGGCTCCAACAGAGCGTGGGCAGGTCCCGAGGCGTCCCCAGCAATGAACCTCTGGGAGCTCTGGCTGGGGGGGAAGGCCAGGCCAGGCAGGGACAGCTTGTTCCACCTCGTACGGGAGAAGCATGAGAAGGAAGCAGCCACGGCAGAGAAACGTTGGCCGGCATGAGGAGGAGAGAGGACCTGGCGTTCTCCACTCTCAGTGCCTGCCTGAGGTCGTGCCAGTCAACAGGGTGACCAACCATCGCACTCTGCCCAGGACTGAGGGGCTGCCGGGACACAACACTTCAGGACAGTTCCAGGGAAAACCAGGACATGCCGGTTATTCTCCAGTGAATGCTATCCTGGAAATTTAAATAAAATCTTCACCAAGTGTAATTTGTTCAGAACATTCCAGAGCTTTCCGGGACCCTTCCTCTATACACAGGTAGGGAGACGTGCTGGGACCTTCCTTTGATGAGCTACTGAACTAATTAATCATTTCTGACAGGAAAGAACCAGAAAGAGCTCCACAAGCAGAAATGCTGTGAGAAAGGGTAATTCTGTTCATACACTCGTGTTCCTCGATCTCGGTGCCTGCTTCCCAAATTCAAGCAAGCTGAGGGTAGGCACTTCCACGTGCGCCAGGGGCATCTTTATGAGATACGAGTTACAGTTTCCCGCCTAGATCTTTGTCTCAATCATCCTTAGAATTAAAAAAGAAAAAAAAGAAGTCACGTTCACTGTTTACTGCCAAATCAGCAAACCAGTTGACGAAGTTTCTTCAACACTGCCTGGAGGCATCTCTGAATTCGCCATTTTATGGCGGATTCAGTCCGTTATGGTGCTGAGCTGAGAGGTACAGGGAGCACGGTCAGATACGGGGGTAGGGTTGGGAGTGAGGGTAAAGGCAGAGGGAGGGATAGAAGGACAAGAAGCAAGAGCAGCTGGAACAATCCGTGTCTATGGTTCCTGTCTGCACGTAGCCAAAGTCTTTGCTTTAGCAAAATCTCATTTTTTCTTTCATTATTGCATGCTGGGGCTCCGATAGCACATAGAGCTCTTGCCTCTTCCTTCCGATTTCCCCTCAGTGTAGATCAGAAAATGGTTGCTAAGCTGCAGACAAAAATACTCCTGAGGAGACGGGAGGGCTGCTGGCTGCCAGGACAACATCTGGGCTCCAGCTCTTGCTCTGCACCCCAAAATGACTCCGTGTGGGGAGGCTGAGGATGCGGAAATCCACCCTGCGTGGATATCCTCCCTGGCGGGGGGAGCTGTGGAGGACTGTCTGGTGCCTCCTGCTCCGTTTGACTTCCGGTCCAGTCTTCCCCACTGGGAGCGCTCACTG